CTAGCCCCATGTGCTAGAGATAGTGGGTTCAAACCCAGCCCTGGCCAAAAACTGCAAATAATAATAATAATAAAATAAAATGCTGCCATCATCTCTATTGAAAAAAAAGAAGAAGAAGAAATTAACCCAACTACAACAGGCAGGCTTTAACTAACTTATCAGTGGTCTAAATAAGCTCTATTCCCTTAAAATTTTCAGGTTATCTTAATTCTGTACTAATACAGTTCTGTAGTTGATTTTCATTATTATTATTATTAATTTTTGGAGACAGAATTTCACTTTGTCGCCCTTGGTAGAGTGCTGTGGTGTGACAGCTCACAGCAACCCTGGCTATTTTTTGTTGCAATTTGACCAGGGATGGGTTTGAACCTGCCACCCTCGGTATATGGGGCTGGTGCCCTACTCACTGAGCCATAGGTGCTGCTCAATCCCACTAAAAGTCAACATGTCATATAAGCCCCCAACTGACCCAATCTTCCTTACTAACACAAAAGAGACATGGGGGGAAAAGCATAAGCAAACACAAAAACATAATCTTATAGTGGAGAAATAAACGAAAACGCAGGCTGGGTGGCTCAGCCTGTAGTCTGAGCTACCCCAGTGGCTAAGGCCTGAGGACTGCCTGAGCCGGGGAGTACGAGGTTCCAGCCTGGGCGAGACAAAACAAGTTCCTGTCTCTAAAACACACACATACACCACAAGCCAACTACACTTAATGACCTAGTCACAGTATTGATTACTTAGGGGTGAATTCTACTTTTGAGTCTCCCAGTTCCCAAAGGGAGAACTTAAGCGTAGCATGGCTCTCTAGCAACCCTTCTGGCTAACTGAAGGAATACAAAGGATGTTTAAAAGTAGAGGAAAGAAAGCAAGGAAAGAGGGTATCATCCCAAGAATGAAAACTGAATCTTGAAATAAGGGAGAAAACGATCAAAGCCAAAGAGAAGAAACCTCAAAAAATTAAGCCTGAGAGGGGCAGTAAGGAGGAAGGGGAAGTTGATTAGAAAGGGGGGAGGGGGTAAATGACTTGCATTACACAAGCAAGCACTTCGTGTCCCTAGCAGAATGTAAAGATAGGGAAGGAAATAACCAAAGAAGTACCAAGCGAAGAGGGATAAGAAAACGAAAATAGACTAAATGCTAATTTCTCTGTGCCTTTCTGACCCTATTCTAAGTCAAAAGCATCAAAAGACAAGACGTTGAGTACACTTCAGTCCCCTTCAAATTGCACTTTTATAGCGTTTGAAGCCAGCCTTGAATAACTTTCTAAACCAAGTGGTAACTCATCTGGCTTAAAAACATCGATGGAGAGCTCCAAGTTAAAATTACTAGTGCCCTCTGTCGCTGAAAGATTTCCTAGATACATTCCAACTCGCTTATGCTTTATTTTTCTTGACAAATATTTTCAAACAGTTTTCTATTTTAAAACCTCAGAGTATAGGTATCTCCTCTGGCTCCGGCAGCAAATGTTCTAACTCACGATGGATTCCAGCACAAGACTCGGCCCAAAGACTCCAAGAGATGGTGACATGGTTGCCGGGCAGCTGTAAGGAGCATCAATCACCACATTTGCAGCCTACACCGAATCCCCCGCCTGCCAGGCTAACTCAGACTGACTCACAGAATTAGTACCCTGAGCCTCTCGGGCTTTTTCCGGGCCTTTCTGCGCAAATCCTCGTTATGAAAGCATGACATTTAATTTAGGAGTCCCGTCTTTTTCCCTCAGGGTCCCAGGTTCTGCCCAGAGTCGACAGCCGGTGGAGTACGGTCCCCAGGAAGGAAGAGTCCCAAAAGGGGAAATGTGGAATCGGAGCCTCGGGGATTCCTCTCCTCGTCCCAAGTTTTGCCGCTCCGACCCGAACCAACCCCAGGGCCGGCCCGGTGGCCCTTGGGAGCCTGGGCCCAGTTTCCCCGGGGCACTCCCGCTGCGGAGCGGGAAGGAAGAGGCACCCGAGCAGCGCCGAGCGCCGCCTCCCGCACTCACCGTGGCGCAGCTGTTCCACTCTGCGTCCGGCCGGCACCTTCGCAGAGCTGCGAGCGGCCACCGACCCCCTGCTGTTCCGCGAGGGCAGCACCTGCTCCTACCACCGTCACTGCCACAGCCTCCCTTGCCGCCGGCGGCCCCCCACCCCGCTACCGCCGCCCGGTCGCGGAAGCAGCCCAGCAGCCCCGCTTCCGCTCCCCGCGCCTCGTCGGGGTCCCGCGAGAACTTCCCCCACGCGGCCCCGCCCCGCCCCGCCCCGCCCCCGCGAGACTTCCCCGGGCTGAAAAGTCCCAGAGCGCAAGCGCTCCGCCTAGACCAGCCCCCCTCAGGTAGGGACCAGCTTGGTGTCAGAGCGCATGCTCCAAGCTTCCAGCAGCAGGTGGCCATAGCACGGTCCCGCCCGCGTGTCCCTGTAACCCTTTCCTTGCCAAAGCGAGTAAATGACAGCTGCGTCCTAAAGGAATAACTCTACCCCACTCTACCACGGATTCTCAAACTTTTTAAAGAGGGGGCCAGTTCCTTGTCCTTCAGATCGTTGGAGAGACTGTCTGCGGCTCCGGGACAAGTCGGCTGCTAAGCAGGACAGGCAGCGGCGGCAAAAACACCCGGTGGGCGGGATAAATGTCCTTGGCGGGCCGCATGTGGCCCACGGGCCATAGTTTGAGGAGGCCTGCTAGTCCTTTCTTCTTCTCCTTTTACAATAGCAAAGCAATTAGAAGCTGAGGGAGAGAAATATTTCCAGCACTAAGCAAATAGAGGATCAGATCTTTTTTTTTTTTTGAGATAGAGCTTCAAGCTGTCCCCCTGGGTAGAGTGCTGTGGCTCACAGCTCACAGCAACCTCCAATTCTTGGGCTCAAGCGAGTCTCCTGCCTCAGCTTCCCAAATAGCTGGGACCACAGGCACCTGCCACAAGACCTGGCTATTTTTTGGTTGCAGCTGTCATTGTTGTTTGGCAGGCCTGGGCTGGATTGGAACCCACCACCTTAGGTGTATGTGGCTGGCGCCTTAGCCACTTGAGCCATAGGTGCCAAGCCAACGCCCGGCTATTTTTGTTGTTGTTGTTTAGCAGGCCTGGGCCAGGTTTGAACACACCAGCCCTAGTGCATGTGGCCGGCGGCCCAACCACCGACCTTCGGATGCGGAGCCAGGGGATCAGATCTTGAAATGTGCAATAATCCCATCCATACAAACTCGGTAGTATTGTATGATTAGCGGATTCTTTTGCTCATTGATTGACTCAAGTGCATAATCTATGCTAAGTACTGTGAGAGTATAGAACAGAAATCCTTCCCCTCAAGAAAGTCCTGGTCTAGAGAATTAGAAGCATAAATAAATGATGCCATAGCACTTTTACAATAGGAGGATGCTGAAAAAGCTAAAGAAATGGGGGAAGGTATCGCTACTCAACCCACTGCAGAAAAGCCTTCACAGAAGTGCTAGCATGATGTTGAGCTGAATCTTGGAGAATGAGTAGGAGTTTGCCAGGAAGAGAAGCCTGAGTAAGATGCATTTCAGGCAAAGAGAATAGCATGTAAGTACAGAGAGTAAGTACAGAGGAACGGAGGCGTGAGAGAGAAAGTCGTGTTCTAAGTGCTTCAGTTCCTGTATGAGGCCAATGAGTACCTGGGAGTGCCAGAAGATGAGGCTTGGAAAAGTAACTCCTATTTTTTAGTTCCAAAAGCTCTTTCCAATAAAGAGAGAAAACAGAAACACATCTAATGTTAATGTGTTCTCTGGAAGCTGGTAAAACAGCGTTGAGAATGATGAGGCATCTGATTCTATAGAGAAAACAAGGCCATTGAAATAAGGGAAATGAATTGTTCTTTCACCAAGTATATATTGAACATCAGCTGCATCCAAGGTGCTCTTTGGGGTAAAAGATGAACCAGACAAAGACTTTGCTTTCAGCACTCTGTAATCCAGTTGCCTAGTCTGCAAGACAAGCGGTTGAACTGCATATGGATAGGTCAGAGGAGGGAATCATTATTTGTTGCTTAGGCGATCAGGGAGGACTAGGTTTGAACTGCAACATGAAAACTGGCAGGAAAGTGGTGGAATAAGAAAATATTTTGTGGCTTGGCACCTGTGGCTCAAGTGGCTAAGACACCAGCCACATACACCTAAGGTGG